GAAGACTGTTGAAAATGGTTTGTGTCCTAGCTCGTATTCTAACACTGTTGCAGCAGTGCAAAACTTTGCAGAAAACAGTTCACGAGTTTCAGTTATAAGTAGTCCCAAGAATTCAGGATCAAGCAACTTGAATAAGAAGGGAACCAGCTCTTCAAAGAGGAAGAGAAAAACACCTACACCCCTGCTCTTGCCTAATACATCACAGAAATTAGCAGTAAACAATGCAACAGTCATGGGGCTTCTAACCAAAAGCACTGAAGGAAACATGCAGATACAGGGAGAAAGTTTTCAGTCCAACTTGCTGGCAAATTGTGGCTCTCAAGCAGTGGTGGAAAACCTTGCACAGAAACTCAGTAATGTTGACAATCAGTTACTCATGGCCAGTATCAAAGAGAATTTCAAAACAAATCTTGAGGCTCATACAGTTCTGCCCCCTCTAACAGTAAAAACTGAAAATGGGGATTCCCAAATGATGGCTGCAAGTTCTTGTGTGCAGGCTCATTCGGAAGAACAGATTTCACAGGACACTGTTATGCAGAACTTCGAAAAAACCCTGGAAATCATTAAAACTGCTATGAATTCACAGATGCTTGAGGTGAAAACTGAAATTCAGGATACTGTTACTGCTTCAGGACAAAACTTGCAAGTAAATAATGCCCAGACTGCTTCAGAAAGTTCGGCACACAGTGTAAAACTATCCACTTCTACACAGTTTGCTGTGCACACAGCAAATGTTACTGCTACAAAGGGTAGCTCTGCCCAGTCTGAGATACCTCAAAAGGATGATACTCAAATGTCAGAAATTTTGGAAGGCTTGCAAAAATTGAAGCTAGAGGATGATTCTCCCATTTCCATCTCTGAGACTGTTTCTCAGTGTCCTCCAGCAGATAAGCTAGCACCAGCAGTTCCTGTTGTATCAATTGAAAATAAACCTCTCATCCAGCTATCTCCTGAGGCAAGTAACATTCAATTTAGTGACAGAGTTAATAAACCTTTTGTATGCCAGAATCCTGGCTGCAATTACAGTGCTATGACAAAAGATGCATTATTTAAACACTATGGCAAGATCCATCAGTACACTGCAGAAATGATACTAGAAATAAAGAAACATCAACTAAAGTATGCCCCATTCAAATGTGTTGTAGCTACCTGTCCAAAAACATTCACAAGAAACTCTAATCTCCGAGCACACTGTCAGCTTGTACATCATTTTACAACAGAGGAGATGGTAAAATTAAAAATTAAGAGGCCTTATGGCAGAAGATCTCAAAATGAAACTGTAAATGCAGCCCCACAGCCTGTTGAAGTAAAAACTGTGCAGACACTAGTAATAGAAAACAAAACTGTAGCTCCATTGGTCAAAGAAACTCAGATAAAGGAAGTTGTAGAGCCTGTAAAAATATTGGAGAAACTTCTACCAGAAAATAATACTCCTGAAAGACTGGAAAAACCTCCCCAGGTGGCTTCTGTTCCACTGGAGCAGCACAATCCAGCATCCTTTGATAGTACACAGGAACAAGCCAAAGTACGCAAGGTTAGGAAGCACAGGAAGGAGAAAGAGGAGAGGAATGGTAGGAAGCCTGTAACAAAATCTCTGGAGTTTCCCACTAGATACAGCCCCTACAGACCATACCGGTGTGTCCATCAGGGCTGCTTTGCAGCTTTCACAATACAGCAAAACCTAATTCTTCATTACCAAGCTGTGCACAAATCAGACCTCCCCGCTTTCTCTGCTGAAGTGGAGGAGGAGAACGAGCAAGGCAAAGAGGAACGTGAGGAGGTGGAAACTAAACCTGCTGTCAGAGAGTTCCGGTGTGAGGTGAGTGACTGCTCTCGCATCTTTCAGGAAGTTACCAGCTTAATCCAGCATTATATGAAGCTTCATGACATGACTCCAGAGCAAATTGGAAATATGAAATCAGCCCCAGAGGTGGGAAGGTTTTTCTGTGACCAGTCTCAGTGTAAGTCTTCATTTACAGCTTATCTTAACTATGTTGTGCATCTTGAGACGGATCACAGTGTTGAGATAAAGCCCAACAAAGTAGAAGATGATGGCATGTTCAAGTGTGACTGTGAAGGCTGTGACCGTATTTATGCTACAAGGTCTAACCTCTTGAGGCATATTTTTAATAAACATAATGATAGGCATAAAGATCATCTAATAAGACCCAGGAGACTGACACCAGGCCAAGAAAACATTTCAAGCAAAGCAAATCAGGAGAAACCATTGAAATCTAAACAGAGAGGACTTAAAAACAGATCGGGAAAAGAAGGTAACAGGCTGTCAGTGAAAACAAAACGAAAGAAGAATGTGAATTTGGAAAACAAAAACTCAAAAGGAATACAGGTTCAGGAAAATAAGGCTTATTCACTGAAACGAGGTAAATATGTGTATTTAATAAAGGCCAGAAACGATGCCTTATCAGAATGTACAAGTAGGTTCATAACTCAGTATCCATGTATGATCAAGGGATGTTCTTCCGTGGTCACAAGTGAAAGTAACATAATAAGACATTATAAATGTCACAAACTGTCCAAAGCTTTTACTTCCCAACACAGGAATCTTCTTATTGTATCTAAAAAACATGTTGTTTCCCAAATAAAGGAAGCCTCTTGTGAGCAGGAGGGAACTGATAAAAAAACTGATGTGAAAGAGCCTGAACCGAGTTTGATAGAGAGCAATAATGATTCAAGCACAACTACCTTACCACAAAAGGAAACTGAAAAAGGTGAGAAGGATGAAGTGGATGAACTGACAGAACTATTCATTACTAAACTAATTAATGAGGACTGTTCAACTACTGAAACTCAAGCAAAAATCTCTTCCAGTGTAAATAGTGACTTGCAGGAGACCAGCTCCTGCCCCTCAGAGAAGCAAAAATCAAACAACCTGAAAAGAACAAATAAAGAAAAAAATATATCTCAGAGTAAGAGAAAGAGAACTGAGAAAACAGAGGAAGCACTGCCCAGTGGCGTGAGTAGCCTACACAAGGAGGAAGAGACTGCTGTCGCCATTCAAACGGCCGAAGAGCAACCTGCGGCTTTTGACTGGAGCTCCTTCAAGCCAATGGGTTTTGAAGTGTCGTTCCTCAAGTTTCTTGAAGAATCTGCTGTGAAGCAAAAGAAAAATTCTGAAAGAGAATACCATAGCAGTGGAACCAAAAAAGGATCCCATTCAAACTCACGGAAAGCTAGTGAGAAGGGCCCTGTAGCAAGTGATAACGTCACTTGGTCATGTTCTGAAACTGAAACCCTTGTACCGTTTGCCAACCCATCACGGCTTCCATGTGGTGATAATGTAAAGATAGTGTTAGACAAGACTCTTAAAGACTGCACTGAGCATGTGTTGAAGCAGCTTCAGGAAATGAAACCTGTTGTCAGTTTGAGAAAGCTCGAAGGACGTTGGGAGGATAATCCCGAGGTTATAGCTGCAAAAGTAATTGTTGTGGGTACTGAGGAAGGGGAATCAAAATACTGAAAACCTAATGTGTTTAACCATAACCTGTAATAGAATTTATTTTGAATAGGAAGCCATCAAGCATGCTAGTAACTGTGGAGCTCTTTTATTTTGAAGTGATTTAATCTAGCAAAAAACATGACATGAGTCATGTAAATGTCTTATTTGTTTTTATCCCTATGGGACTTGAAGAAAGTAATTGCTTCAGTTTTGTAAATACTTGATCAAGACCTCAACTTTCTATCAGATTGTCCTTTCCATAAACTAAATCTTTGTGAGTTGTCTGTGATTGGTATCTTTCGCCAGGTTACTTCTCATGTACAACAGTTTTCTTTATTTGTAGATACATTTTTTTGTATATATTTATTATTGTAAATCATTTGCTGCCACCAGCAGTCTGTAAGTCTAAACTATTAAATGACACATTTATATTCGGAATTTTAATTTGTAACTAAGTGAGCAAGTTTTTAAAACTGTCCTTTAATCATTTTAAATTAAGAACTTTTGAACTAAAGCTAGCTAAGTCTGCCATATCCAGTTTATTTTGCATAAAACATTTATTTACAGAAGAAAAGCTGGATAAGATCACATTTCATAGGTTAAACATACTGACACACTCATTTTTGTAAATTTTAACATCCAGTATCTATGGATGATACTCATATGTAGTTAACACATAAATATAATAATAGTTTTCTTATAGCTACATTTTTCATTGCTTTTAATTGGTTACAAAGCATTTATGATTCCATAATAAAAAATGGAAATGTGAATAAAAATAGTTTGCTACATTGAAGATTTAAAACAATATTTGGTATTAAAGAATCCATTGTGAATGTGATAGAAAATTAGTAGTGTGGAGCAGTGTATATATTTGAGGTGGTGATTTGTGAAGTAGCCCAGTATTGCCTTAAATAAAAACACATTTCATTTCTTGTTTTATACATGTGATCTTATAAAGGTTATTTTTGTTTCTGTAACTTAGATTGGTGTATAGTTTAATTTTTGTTAAAAAAACAAAACAAAACAAAAAAACTTCAGAAACCGTTTTTGTAAATAGTGGGTTTATAAAACAGATGGGTTTATTTTGATAATACCAGTTTGGTATCTATCTATAAAATACACGAGTCCTTATGCCATACCATTAAAAACTAAATAAACAAGGCACTTTCTGAAAGGGAAGTGAGATGGTGATCTTACAGATAAACTCGGTGGTTGTGCTCTGTTGGTGGCATAGGCTCCCTTTGCGCTCCTCTGCCTCTCGCTGACTGTATGTGGCACCACTCACAACCTCTCTTTCCCACACTGGAACGAGCCTCAGAAGCGGTGCTGCTTGTAGTGCCCGGGATTGGAGCAATTCCTCTGTATGCTGCTAACTGAAATGACAGGTATCCCATTTGTTGAGTAACCAAAAGTGTGAATGCATTGGTGGGAGCTGTCAGTACCCAGGAATCTTCAGTGTTGGTTTTCATGCGTGGTTATGTTTGACTCAGCCAGCTGGATTGTGTGGTACCAAAAACTTTACTTGGATTATTCTCGTTACTGGATGTGACCTACCTTCAGTAATATAAAAGTCTTTATCTTGGGTGAGATTGGCTTGATTTTATTTTTTTTTCTATAAATTTGTCTTGCTGTGTGAAGCTTTGCATTAAATGCTAGATTTGATTGTTTGTAAGCTATTCACCTGGAATCTCTGACAGTTTTCCTGAGTATCAGTGCAGAGGGCACCTTCCTATAACCAAATGAAGTGACTTGTTGCGAGAGTGAGGATTATGTCTGAACAGGAACAGCATTTCACCTCGGGCACAGCCCTTGGTTTGCTACATGGTGCTAAATTGCTTACCTTCGCAGAAAGCCTGTGCTTCCATATGAACAGAGCCCGTCGGCTCCTTTCACTTTCCATCCCTCACAAGTGACCAAACTTTTATTACGCTTTGATTAGTAAATCAAAGGTGCAGTCTGAGAATGACAAAACCAAAACAAATCCTTGCATTTTGACTCTAATAGTGATCATTATAATCATTACAAGTACACAGTGCCATTTTCTACCTGCCCGAGGCTGCTGGTCCCCCTGGATGGAGCTGCTGTCGGATACCAGCCACGGTGATTGTAGAGGGAGCTTCTGCAGGGGAGAAGAGGGCAGAGATCCTCTGGAGAGGATCCTCAGAGCTCATCTGAATTCTCATGTTTTCAGCTGTACCTAACCACTGTCACTGTCAACAGACCTTGCAACTGTTAGTCTTTAGAAGATTGTTTGTGTTGTGTAAGTTGAATAGTTTCAACATTCCCGATGATTGATACTGTATCATTTGCAGTTCTTGGACTGAGAATAGCATACAACTATTAGCTACACAGTGCTATACTAGAATGCTATTTAAAAAAAGAGAAAAGGATAAAAAATCCAATGTCATAAATATCCAGGAAATACTGTCTCATCCCAATCAATCCAATTAAAGCAATGCTGTACCCATATAGTTAGTACATTCCATGGCACACTCCCTTTTAGGTGATTACTGACTGCCTGTCCAACAGGTAAGCTAGTATGGGGTCTCTTATTTCCTTTTTAAAAAACAAACAGGAGTATTTTGAACTTAAAATGGCATACCAAAGGCAGAGTCTGATTTAAAATGTCACAGACTGTAGAGGGCACTCTGGTTTGTAAAGCCACTTATAGAAACTCCCAAGAAATAAATCTGGTATTTGCATTTAGATGTTTTACCTTGGGTGATAGAGAAAACCTCTCACCCTAGCACACCTGGATGGGCAGCTTCTCTGGGGCTTGAAGCCACACACCTGTCCTTGGGGGCTGCTGGGTGGGATAGGGCTCCGAGGTGGCTGAGCCAGCTGTACCAGCAGCACGTCAGCCCCGCTGCCCAGTCCTCTGTCTTTTGCCTTTTCTTTCTCTCCTTTGTCTCTGCCTTCCCACTAACTGTGGAACATTCAAACAAAGGTGCTTTCTTTGAAGCCCCTTGTTGAAATTAGGAATGTGCTGACTAAAGCAGCAGGTGCTGCTGATGGGGAAGCAGCCAAATTGAAGAATCTGTCTGAATTCAGAGCAAGGACTGTTTTGTGATCAAAAGACACCTTTAAACTGACAGTCAGCCTCTCTGGTGCTTAATTATGTTTATATAAAGAAATCTGCTATTACCTGAGCCCTAATTCAGTGTAAATAAGAGTAGTGGATTTGTCCCTACATGTTTCAGGGTGGTCCTTCTCAGCTGGATGGGGGGACCGTGGGCTCGAGCATTACAGTGGGACATTTGGTCTATGGATGTTGGATAGTAAGTAAGCAGTGCTTGTACAAATAACACTGGGATCAGTTGTTGGGTCAGGAGAGGGGCAGGTAGTTGGCTAATTGTTGCGATTACTTTCTGTGCCAAAGAATTAGCTGGGGCTTCCACATGTGTGCAGAGGAGAGAGGGACAAGGGCAGGGACAGACTAGGTTGAGGTTTAGGTTCCCCAGTTGGAGAAACTCCTGCTCATGCCCTGCTCAGCCCTGCCTGGAGCCTTGGTATGGAGGTGATACAATTAAAAAGATGGGAAATGAGGCCACTGGTACTGGAGAAGGGAGTAGAGGGAAAAAACGATCAGCAAATAGGGAAATACTTTGTGTCTTTTTTTCAAACCTCTTCTGTCCCAAGGCAAGAGGCTTACTTGGATTTTAAAGAAAATGAGAGCCTATGTAAGATACTGGTCCTTTGATGTTTGCAGGGATGTTTTGAAATACGAATGAGGTAAATATTTTTGTATGAATGTGCATGCAGTGATTGCGTTATTTCTCCATTACAGTATGGACTCAGATCAGCTTTCTATCAATTGCTTATATCCTTGCAGAACATAGCACTTGATTTAAATTTTTTAAAATGTTAGTCTGAGTGACTCAGAAGTTTTGGGACCAAACCTGTAAACTCATTTGAACCAAAAATGTAACAGCAAATGCCTTCAGGGGTGCATGGACGAGTGAAACTGAAACTGGAGAACAAAGGCACATAAAAACGGGGAAAGGGAAGGAGCCAGTAAAAGACCGAATGGTTGCCAAGAGTGAGGGTTCAGACAGTAGATGAATTTGTTTCTGTTCTCTCAGTGAAGTGATGCTCATTTCCTTTTCATTAGTAGCCCTGTGAAACATTCAAATTTTGCAGCACATGATGTGAAGGCTACTTGGCGATTTGCTGCGAGTGAGTCGGGTTATGTGGAGTTGGTCCATAATAATTTTTCAGAATATTTCTCATGTAAGGTACTGGCTTTGTCAAAACTGAAGTATTCTCCAAGACTCAAAACACTGATTTTTGAATTTATTTATCATTTCTTGACTGTTGGAAGATAGAATTAAAAATAAAACTTTGAATATACATTCCAAAGAATTAGAGTTCTTGTTTGATGGGAAAATTTTTGGTCTAAGTGGTAATCTCTGACCAGCCACAGAGCTTTAGGGGGTGCTCTAAAACCCTTCAAGCCCTGACTTAATATACTTTTTTATTAGAGAGCAGCTAATGCACTAATTTTATCAGAAACCTGTGTTGGCTAATCTGTGTTTGCTTCTCTTAATTTTCTCTCAAATAAACCTTACTTTAAAAACAATGAATAAATATTTTTTCGTTAATGTGCTCTTAAAAATCTGTCCTCAGTTATTAAAACCCAGATACTTCAGAAACATTTTTTTCTTTGATTCTGTTGCCCTTCTCTTAATAAAATGATGCATGAGGGTCCAGATGGGCTAAGATAATTCTGGGGTTTGTTCTCAGTTACTTAAGCTGTAGCAGTCACATTTTCACATGGTTCATGGGTGGTGGTTTTGCTTCAGGCATTCTTTGGTGGGTTTTGTCCAGGAGCTGCAAAAGCAGCTAACTGCTTTTCTAAGTGCATTTCTGTCACAAGCCACATTCTGTGTAGGTAGAGGTTTAACAGAAAACGTTCTGAATTGTATAAAGCACCCTGTCTCTATATAAGCACAGATTCAGCATCAGTCAAGATTTAAAACTAACTGCCCACAACCTGGCAAGCTGGTCTCTGAGGGACTGCTGTTGCTGTTAAATTCAGCAGCAGCAAATGTCTTTCCATATTTTAAAAAAGGTAGGTTTATTTCAGGGGAGAAAAACAAAAACAAAACCCAAACCCTTCCTTGAAAATCACCACCAGAAGTTCATAGCTTCTTCAGTGGTTGCTAAGGTTCACTCTAACTGCTACTCATTAAATGTAATGCTTTGTAACCAAAGTCAAAGGGCCAGAGGGGGCCTCTGTGGAAAAAAAATAGTTAACCTGCTTTGGCTGCTTTTTTTGTTTCTTCCTTCTTATCCTGGCATGAACAATAAAATTAGTTCAGCATTCAGGCAGCTCCACTTCAGTTGGTGTTTTTCTCTAAACAGTGCATTTTTATCAGGCTCAGTACCAGATGTATGTCCAAAGGTCTTTCGTTCCATTAACTGAAAGAAAACACTACCCTGAAGGAAGTTTTGTAAGGTACTACTTTCCACTGTCTTAGAAGCCTAGGTTCACTGTCCCTTTCCTGTTAGCCCAAACAACACGCATAACAAAGAGCAGAGGTGTGTGGTGCTTGAGATACTTTGAAATCTGGGGGAGGGAACAGGTGATTCCTTTTTACTTTGTTTATGCTGGGGGCTTTTCATATTTCCAGATTTCACACGTTTTTTTGCAGTGGAGAAATCTACTGAAGGAGTATCATATATCCAACCTTACTAAAGGGACCAGATTCTAGGCTACTTAATACTAGGGACTACTGGCTACTGTTCTTCCGTATTGTGTGGTCTGCATTTCTCTGTTCAGATCCTAGGGAAGTGGGAATGATCTGTTCGCTTAAATGCCACCACCAGAGCAGAAGACAAGTCTATTGACATGGGAGCTGCTTGGTGCAGTTGACCAGGAGTGAAGTCTATACACTGGTACATGCTACTTGCAAAGTTTGAGCAAGTGCCTTTCTTAAAGCATGCTTTTTGATGATTAACAGCCTAACAGCTGTAAGGGCTCAAATAATTCCAGAAGGAGGTGCTTTACAATCAGCTAAATAACCAAATCTGTCTTTATCACATGGGCTAAACTAGATGTGTCTACCTCTTCTTGTTTTTTGTTTTTTTTTTCTTTTTTTGAGATGTTTTACAGTAGTCCAATGGAATGGACTCGTAACTACCCAGCTCACTTAAAGGCACAACAATCATTCTATGCCAGTACTTTGCTATTTCCATTTCAGCAGTTACCAGGTCTGACCAACCTACCTGACAAATCCTGTATACCCTGTTGCTGTCTTTCTTCATCAATCCCAGGTTCTTCCTATCTCTGCATATAAAAAGCCTATTTTTGCTTGTACCAAAGCAATTCCATGTAATATTCAGTACACAACTGTTTGAGCAATTGTTTCTGCGTGATTTATCATAAGTATCTGTGTTTATATTAAAGCTTCATGGAATTCTCAGAGCTTCTACATTTCTTGTTTCAACATGAAAAGGTCTCAGTGATTCTATGTATGACATACATAATGTAAGTGAATTTATCAGCTCAAGTAATGGGGAACTAACAGAGAAACAACATTTCCTATGTAACTATCCTTTCCAAGGATAGTTCTGCAAAGCACTGATTGGAAAAGCAATTTGTCAAAAACAGCTTGTGTAATGGGAGGGTGGTCTTCAGCCTTCTTTCAACTCAGCAGGGAATGTTTTCATGTTCATGTTACATATTCAGAGGCAAAGATGATGAGCTGTTGTGGAGTTGTCCTGCAGCTGCTGCTCTGTTGTACCTGATGAGTTCTGATTCGCAGCAATCACTTTTCGAGCCTTGCTGTTTCTTCACGTGTCTCTTCAGATAACATTTTATGGAGTATTTGAAAATCAGATAACTCAGTTCACTTAGATTTAATATGATGCACAGGCATGAAGTTGCCACCAGAAAATAGAGGAAAATCATTTTCTCTGTGGGTTTGGAAATATAACAGTCTACAGTATTGGGACATGGTTTTATGTCACATTTCACAAGACGTGGTATTTTGAATCCATTGTACAATTTATAAAACAGAACAAGAAAAACTATTTCAAGCCCTGTTTTTAAAATGAGGCTGATTAGGTAAGTGCACAGCAATCCACCATCTATCTTTCCTGGATTTTTATAAAGTTTCTGGTTGTGGTGTTTCTCTCTGTTCTCTCTGTAAGCAACATGAAAGACAACCAAGAGTGAAGGGGTGGAGACCATGATTAATTGCAAAGCCCAAAGTCTGATGTGAGAGACAGGGAAAAAATGGTCAAAGCAGACATTTTCACAACCAGGCTGCTTGATATTGCACTCAAATTCATCATGCTCGTGTTTCCAGATGTTTTCTGCGGCAGCAACATAAACCAGTAAGCGGAACATGAACACAACAGCTATCCAAATTCTTCCGATTCCTGTTGAGTATTTATTCACTCCACTCAGCAGATCACGTAGGAACGCCCAGCTCATTTTTCTCTTCAAGGAAAGAAGGAAATGCTGTATCAAAGAAACACAAGATCAGAGAGATGCATCCTCTTGGGTGAAGACAAATGAGACATTCATTCAACATAAAATATAACCACTAGCTGAAACAATTTAAAATAGTTAAGCATTTAGACATGATTTAATATTATTAAGCATTTAAATAAGAACAACAAGCTCTTTTTATTTCTGATAATTTAATAATTCTGATACATTCTGAGGCTATTGAACAAAATTTATTTGCTGTTTAAATACATTTTGTCAATCAGGCTGAAGTCTAAACATTCTGTTGAGCTGTCCTCTGTGAGAAATGTGCCTGTTCTCCCTGAGGGTCTCTTGACTGTCAGGTAGGTCTTTCTCTGGCAAGTTCAGGCTGACACTACCACTGAATTACATTCAACTTAGCCCTGTTAGTTATGCAAATACTACACACAGCCAAATCAGATTTCAATTTCAAATTTATGCATAGGAGCCAAGAATCCCATACTAAGTTGACTACAAAAATGCAAATTGATTTCTTTTTTGTCTTTTGCAATATTTTAAATTTGTGCAATATTTTAAATATTTTCCTGCTTCATTGGATTTTATTTGTTGTATTTCCTATCATTACTCCAAAATACGTGTGCGTGCGTGTTACAGTTTTTTGGGGGGTGTCAAGCTCCTTCCTTCTGTAAGAGCACAAAGTGGATGCATGAACAGTGACCAGGAGACATGAGGTGAGGAGGGAAATCAGAAGTTTCCAAATCTTTGTGTTATGTCATTTAAAGTCCTCATCTCATCTTCTGCTTCTGCAAGCTCTGCCTAGCAGGAGAGAAAATGTATCTGTCTGTGGCTGCAGTGGAACACGCAAATCCCACTGACACTTCTGTAGCTGCAGGTACTCCTGATGTAATGAACAAGTAAATGTACTGGCAAGTTTGAGTAGTCATCAGGCCACAGCATCACAAAGCTTCATGGAAAAGGTTTTCAGGCACTGGAATGGGCTGCCCAGGGAGGTGGTGGAGTCGCCATCCCTTAAAGGCGTTCAAGAAACAACTGGACTGGGCATTTAGTGCCATGGTCTAGTTGACAAGGTGGACCTTAGTCAATGGTTGGACTCGATCTTGGAGGTCTTTTTTCACCTAAATGATTCTGTGATTCTGTAAGGCTCAACACAGAGGGAAAGTTCAGTGCTTCTTTTGCTGTCCCCCGGTTCTGCAGCCCTTCATGACCTCTGCCTATGGTCAGGCTTCTGCTGGGAAGTGAAGTTGTTTGGATATTCCTGCATTGCTACCATTAGAGCTGAGCACTACCTTGAGGAACTGAGGGACAGCTGCAGAAATTAATACATTCCTGATTTATACTGCCAAGAATGATTACCAAGCTACTCCTTTATGCTGCAGATAAAAAAGAAAACAGGGAAATAGCAGCTTATATCCTTTAAAACATATGCTCCTATGCTTTAAAATATGTTTGGCAGTGTGGTTACTTTTTCATTAAAGAGCTATTCCTGTCTTCCACGTCTGCAAACAGAGTTCAAGCAGAAGTTTAAATCAAAATTCTGAAGACATGAGCTTCAGGGCTTTAATGCTTTCTAAATAAGTAACACACAGTCACAATAGTCTCCAAGGAGCTGAACAGCAAACATGAACACACCACTATGTAATAAATCACAGGCAAGGAAACAAAGCATTCATTCACTGAGCAAGAGTGAATGTTAGTGTGTGAGTGTGCATCTTGTGGATGAGCTGTCTGCTGGAGATTTGAAGGGAAACCTCAAGAGGCCTCTCCTAAGGCTTTAAGATGTGCACAAGGACTGTTGGAGGGAATTCTGAATTTTGTTATTCCATGGAAAACAAGTACAGCTGCAAGGGGGCTTTTGCTGATGGCCACTGTAAGTGCACCATCCCTTTCTAATGTAAAAAGCCTGATTTCACCTATCAGTCCATGGTTGGAGTTACGCCAGTTCTGAGCCTCCAGGTGAACAGAAATGAAAGATACCAACCAGCAAGGAACCAAAATCAGTGTACACCAGCACTGGTGGAAATCAGGCCATGGGTATACCTAAATATAGATAAAGAAATTTACCTCGAGGTCTCTTTTACCCAAAGCTTAGCTGCTACTTCCTTAACTGAGCAGCAAGAGGGATTAGAAAAGAGCAACTTTACACTTTCTTTGCCAATCTCACATTGAGAAGAACAATATAATGAAAATAAGAAGTCCTGACCAAAGAAAACAGGCATCAAGAATTTGACTAAAGTCAACAGTTCCTGAGAAAGGGGCAAATTCTAACCAGACAGAAGATTGGATGGATGAAATTCCTGCAAAGCTAATATGAAAGAGAGCAACACATTCTGTTACCTAGATGTTTAGTAATGAGGCATCAGGGATTCCACAGAACTGAAGGTGGTTCCTGGTCTGTGTGCTCTGTTGAAGAGAAACTGAAACTTATTGAAGGACTGCAGGACAGGTCTTGTAGTCTGCAGTGCTTCTGCAGTCAGAGGTGTGCAGAACTTTGGTTATATTTTTTACAGTTGCAGCCTTTACTTGATAATGAGAAATGGCTGTAGAGAACAGCCTTCAGCTTCAAATCTAAAGGGTCACAGAGCCTGTTTTGTAGTATTGTTTGGGTTGTAACTAGCACAGCTTCCCTGTTCAAAGGAGCTGCAAATGTGCTTTGGAAAGGTTATGTTTGCTTTCTGACCACTGTTGCTATAGATGTGGATGTTAACTGATGCTTTTGCATCCTTTGAAAATACAATTAATTCACTGAAGCGTTGCAAAGAACATATGGAATGGTAAAAGTAAAATGGACTTCAAAGACAAGGAGTTACTCAACAGGTAAACGAGAAAATTGAATTTATGGGACAGCACAGGCACAAGACTGATGAGGGCTCAGGTTAGCTCAGGCTAGAGAAGGCAAATATATTAAGTGGGCTCTATGAAATTCAGAGCAAGCTGAGGATTCAGGCAACAAAAAAAATCATCTAGTGAGCACATAGCTGGGCAGTAGGAAAAATATGGCAGTGGTATGAGGTTTTGTAACACTTCAAGAAGTGGCAGTTCCCATGGTAGTAGATGCTGAGTAGTGTCAGAGCATGATGCTTTAGCAAAATTATATTCTGGCTATATTCAGCCTAAGGACAAGTGAGGAAAAGTGTGATCCAAATCCGTGAAGCCAAGCAGACATTCCAGCCTTAGAATGTGGAGAAAGTTTATTTTGTACAGAAAGAAACAAAGGGAGTCAAGAAGGGAAGCTAGCTAAAGAAATTGAGTAGACTGTGGGAAATGTTGATTACATCAATTTGTGTCAGGGTACTGTCCAATGCTGAAGCTGAAAATGAAATGACTCAAAGTTTTAAAAAAATTATAAAACCATTAAAGGGGGAATCTCTTTGGTACTGTGGACATAAGGCCCACAAAAGAGACTTGGCCTCTACTGGAAATTACCAAGGAGGCATTAGAGAGTCTTAAGCTGTAGAAGATAATTATTTGCACCAAGGAAACATTAAACGGAGCAAGAAGTGAAAAGCAGGGATTTGTGGTTAGATTTACTTCAACCCTCTGCTCCATACACACAAGCACACCCCAGTTTGAACAAAAGCTGAAGATTAGAAATATGTTGATTTGTTTTTCTCATTTCTAGCTGAAGTACAAGTGATAAACATGAAAACAAGATCTGCCACTCAGGAAACAGAGCAAGTAATCTCTCTTCCTCATCACATACATCCTTTATTCCCTATATGGGATTTAAACACCCCCACTAACATACACATACACTTTGTCCTGCTCATGAGAGGCACAAATGACCAGAAGAGACTTTCCACCCCACTTCCCTCACATGTATCAGTGACTTGATTTTCCCTCTTGGGGTTGGGCATGTGTTCCACTGAGCAAACAGAGTAACCTGAATGCACCATTAACTTCTGAGTGTGCTGAATGTACTTTATTGAGTAAAGTGTTTGAATAATGCTATTGTTGTTGAATATATTCATCAAATATTAATTTCTGTCATTCACTGAGGTCTACAGGAGGTTGGCTAATGTGCATTGAGTAATGCATCCATTGAAAAGCACAGTGCTCAGAGAATTACTTCACCTAGATTTCAATCAGCTCTGCTAATTTAATTACTTTAAAAGCAGGAAAGGTATTTTTGTGTGGAGGAAAATGGCAGGGGGAAGGCAGTGACTGGGAAGTAAGAAAATGCAAGAAGAAACTGTATAACTAGAGACGAAGTGGGGAAGCATCCTAAGTATTAGAAGCACAAAGGGCAGGCAACTTGGAGCTCAAAGAGCTAGGAAATTACAGGAAGGAGACACAGTATTTTGGAAAATGGAACAGTGAGAAATAAGAGAAAGAACACAAGCCTCTGAACAGTGGATCTATCAATTCTGTACAAGCAAGCTAAATTATCCTCAGAGTTTGAGAGATGGAAGAGCTCCTTTTCCTGATATAAACATTGTTGGGGAGTATTTGCTGCACCTACAATTTTTTTTTAACAGGAAGAAAGAGAACCATAAATAGAGGCAAAAATTATAAAGAAGAGAGCAGAAGTAGAAATCACAGAGGATACAGAACCATAAAAAGCAGAGCTGGTAATCTTTAGAGTCCATAGAGTCTTTTTTTTTTTACACTTTAATCAAAACATCATCACAGCACTATTTTTTTTCCAAACACCAAGGATCCATTTTATGGTTTTAGAGTCTGTTTCATGGACTGCCTAGTGCTTCCTTACTGACTACCAGAGGTGTGAGCTCCACAGGCTGAGAAACACCAATTTGCTTTGTTCTCTAGCCCCGAAAAGGCTTAGTTGTGCAGAAACTGCTCCTGGGAGTTCAGACTATTCTTAAGTTGATGGAAGCTCCGCTCGTCCCCTCAGCATGCTGCATCTATTCCAGTGCTCTGCTAGAGAAGAGGAGGGATCAGGAAACCTCCTGGGAGCACCAAGGAACAGTATCACTTGATTCAAAGTCACATTACCAAGCTGCACGTGCACCAGCTGTTCCAACTGCTGCGCATCTTCTATAGG